CACAGCGTTGTGGTGTCCTGTGCCTACACACTTCTGGCTGGAGAAGGGTCTGTCACAGCCCTGGACCCAGTCTATCATTTTGAAAAACAGAATGGATTTATAATTTCTGAACTGAATCTGATCTATTGCTGGGAAGGAAACGGTTGCCCAGGGTGAGGCAATGGGAAAGAGGATGGAAAGGTGACCTGTAGTCATCTAAATACATCAGTACTTTGCCTCCCCTTTGCCATTGCCAAGTTCCTGGAGTTTAGTTCCACTGGCAAGTGCTTAGATTGCTTTTAATTTGTTTCTTTTTTGATAAAGCCATATTAAGAACCCAAGTCCACTTTCCTGCCCTTGCATCCATTTTATCCTTGTATGTTTTGAAAGCTGTTACAGTGCAGAACAGCAGCGATGCCACCAGAGTGAATTACAGAAGTCATTCGAAGGTAGTTTTAGGTCCTACAGTTTGAAGCCTGTAGATCTGTTAAGGTTTTGCTTTTGTTTTTATATAACTTGAAAGGACAGTACAAGAAAGGGACTTTTCCAGTCTTACCTGTTCTGATATCCTCTCCCCATCCTTATCTGAATACAAAGATATCTTTATCTTAAAAATGGTGGCAAGGCCTTAAGTTCCCCAGGTGACTGTTACACTATCATCATCCTGGTGTTACAGTTGATCTCCACTGTACCGGTGTGGTTACTGGGGAGCAGGTGTGGGGGGCTGGTGTGGATTTACCTGTAATGACTGTAATGGTTGGGGGATTTTTGTCAATTTTCTCAAATAAAGTTTCTTTTGGGAGAACCAACCCACCTTGGTTGTCTGTGTGAGTCTCTCCTCTTTGTGCACGTTCCTATGCAGTTTCCTGCAAGCTGACCTGTTGCAGGAAGCAGCAAGTAGGCAGCCCCCCCTTGCAAGCCTTTGGGTTTCTGTAGCAGCAGATTTCTAAGGAGTTTGAGAATTCCAGGCTTGGGAAAGGTATTGGCTGTACCAGCTTCTCTGCTGAGTGGGACCAATACAGCAAAGAAGGTGTCTCTTTCAGGTTACTATTTGTTGCCTTTATCTGGACACACACACCCCACGCTCCCCCCCACCCCGTAGTTATATCCCTCTATGTGGAGGAACTTAGAGGCTGATAGTGAAAAAGGGCTGGTGCTCTAGAGCACAAGATCCTGGTTTTCCCTGTCAGCTCCCATGTAAAATTTAGCTCATTAAGACAAATGGAATTAACTTTCAGATTGTGCACTGGTGGAGATTTTAAATCGTTGCAAAGATGAGGTGGGCATGTGTGAGTGGTAGATGCTCACTGAAGAGAGTGGCTAAGTATTTGCTGAACTGCTGTCAGATCTCTGCTGAGCCTGAGCCTTTGGTCATGCAGTAGCCCAGTGAGATAACGCCACAGGACAGGACTTTGGGCACACAAGTGCTACCTAACTTGTTAGTATCAGGGAGGATTTAAAGAAGGGAAATTCCCAGATCTTTGTATAAGGATTAGCCTCTGCAAGTTCTTTCACGAATGAGTATTTGAGCATGTGAAATCATACAGCTGTTCTCATGCGGTAGGTTTGTGGTGTGTCTGGGCTGTTTTACAGCACTCTGCATGCAGAGCTAGTGTCTTCGTTCCATTTCACTTCTGGGAAGTGGGTTAAAGTTGAGCTGTTGCAGATACTTGGGTCTGAGCCCATCTTTGTGTGTGACAGATGCATCGCTGGTAAGTCTGTAATTGCCTGTAGCAAACTGCATCAGACGTTTCCAGCCTCTTCCACCCACTTATCAATGTGACCAACGATGTAATTATCACACTACTTAATACCATGAGTGAGCGTTCCTAAGTAAGGTTTATCTCCGTGTATTCCCCCTCCCGCTATGCCAGCGTAGGCTGCACCCTGTACAAAGTGCCTGCTGCAGCTGTCTCTGTGCATGCAGGAGGGGATGAGCATTTTACACACACTCTTGCTATTTCTTAGAAGCTGCTCAGGTATGTGAGAAATAGCCCAACACCTGTGTTGTTTCCTAACTGGCACATCAGGGACTTGCAACTCAAACTAGTTTGGCAACTGGTTGGCAAGACCATGAGGGGGATTCCTGCCTGTGCATTGCATGGGGTCTTGCAGCAGAGGTTTGGAAAAACAGCATGGCTTCTCCTCGCCCTTGCCAGTTCATGGGATGTATTTCTCTCTCTCTCATCTTTAGCTGTATACCTCTGCTGTACTTGTCTTCCAGCTGCCTGGCAAGGCCTTGCCCTTAGTGAACAAAGTCTCTGCGAAATTAACTTCCCATACGCTGAAGGTGGCTTGTTGGGAAGAAAAGAGCACAAATCTGAAATGTATATATTTGTCACAGGAGAAAATTGCTGGGTCTGGTGAAGACTGCAGGAGTTCAGGGTTGGTAATTTCATCTGCTGCCCCTTCGCCTGGAAAATTTGTCAGGCATGTTCTTGTTCTGTTGTTTTTCCCCCAAACTACTGCTGCTGGCAGTGTGGTGGCTCTGGCAGGCCTGCCTTTCTCTGAGGAAGGTGGAAGGAGCAGAGGATTTAAGGGAAAAACTGCCTGTTGGCATTTCTTGGACCTTTTTGTAAGCTTGAAACACGTGAGCCCAAGCTTTTGCTGTAACACTTGCATTTGCCCAGCAGTGTTTGTAGGAAGCCTGTTTTGCTTTGTGCTGGCAGGGACAAGGAGTTGCTCTGTCTCAGATGCAGCTGAAGTGACTCAAACTTTCTGCAAAATGGCTGTTACAGATGCTTGATCACTCCTGTTGCCAGAGGGCCATGTGGTTTATCACCTTAAGGCATTAGCTTGTGCACTTCCAGCTTGCTGACACAGCCTGCCAGAGGACCTGTGATCTCCAGGTGTGTCCCAGTGATCTTTTTGCTATGAGGATCATTTGTTTCGCTCATGTTTAGAAAAAGCTGCTGTGTCCTGAAGGACCCATCTGTCGTTTATTTCAGTTTTTGCAATAAAACGTGCAGGTTGAATAACTTCCTCTGGGGCCATGTTACTCAAAAAAGGCAATGACAGAACCATGCTCACGTTGCTCTGTCTCACTGCTGTGGTTTCCTGTCACTTAGTTTCCTTTCAGGGCTGATATTCCTGAGGTACCTTTTCCCCAAGCTTTTAAATCGGACGCATTATATGATCTTTGCATAAGCTGCACCAGGATGTTCTGTTGGAATTGTAATGAGATGAACTTGGTCATTCTTGGTTACACGGGGATGCTGTTCCTACAGCTGTCATGCAGGTGAGGTAAGCAGAGCGGAGGGTATGCTTGTCTCTTCCAGCTCCCATTGCAGCTCCGGTCTGATCTGCTGCAGAGCTTTACCCTTTAGGATTTTCTCTCCTACTCCAGCTGCTTGGTCTTTTATTTCTCCCTGAATATACTTTGTTTGGATAATCTTCCCTCAGGTGTAAGGTATTTGCTATACACATGTAACTGGAATCTCGTGGTGTTTCTTAATTATAATTCACCATGTAGATGCATTGTCACTTCTTACTTCACAGTGTGTGCTTCTCTTTCCTTGTTTAGTAACATAATCAATATATTGTCTTAACTCTGAAAGCCATGAATGAGATCTTTGAACTAGGGCAGATAATTGCTGTGATTTAAATCATTTTAAAGTGTTCCTACCCTTATCCAAATTCATGCTTCAGTAATGATTTCGCAAGAGGCAGAATGGCCCACTGCCTCTACGTGGTGTAACTTCCTTAGATGCTCAGTAAAAAAAATCAGCGTAAAGTTGGGTGTATATTGTTCAGTCATATTCCAACAAACCTGAGTGGGCAGCGGCTGCTACTTCCCTTAGGGGCATCTTGCTGTGAGAGTTACTGCTCTGCTTTTTAAAGCATAGTAAAGGCAGCACTGTGGGGTAGGTAAACTTGATTGTAGCTACTACTGTGATAATCTTATGGAAGAATTTGTGTGGTACTGTAGGTAATAATGGGCAAGATAACTTTACTTTTCAAATTGGAAAAATGAAGATTGACCTTTTTCAATTACTTCTCTGGTTT